AAGTCATCCTTTTCCTTTTCGAAAATCACGATATCAAAATTTTTGCATGGTTTATCTATATATATATCCGATTTTCGCATATATAAGGCCAAAATTCATAGATATAATCGGGACCGATCCCATATAATTAATTTTATATTCCAATTTTATTTCTTCGAAGATTTCAGCGAAAATCAAAAATGAATTATAATATCAATAATATCTCATATCTATATTTTCTAATTCCATAAAAAAAGAAAGTCACAATTCGATATTATGAATTATATAATAAGAAAAATATATAATAAAAAATACCATTGAATATTTTCTTATATTGAATTCTAGATTTTGGGTTTTACGTGATTTTAATTTTCAAACCTTCCAGATAGGGGCGAATCCCTTAAAGACGATCTGAATATAATTCCTGGGTGCATTTCTTTTCGGCTGCCACTGCTGCGCGGATTTGGCGTAACCGCGTTGGCGGCGACCCTTAGGCTCCTTTTGGCCAGGATGGCTTGGCTGAGGCTCCACGGCTACTTGACCTCCGTTTTTTGCGAAGGTGAGCTGAGGGCCGTCCCGCAATGCATGAAAAATCTTCCCATCGATGTGTTCACGAGCTGCATCACCACCTTCAATGATACATGTGACAAGTCCCGTGCTTCCGCGCCTGGCCGTACGGCCAGCGCTGTGCACAAAAGCAGTGGCATCAACAGGTGCATCGAAGAGCACGACATGGCGTACTCTCGGAAAATCTAGGCCTCTGGCGGCCATGTCCGTAGTAAGCAATATCTCACAGCCACCCTGCCTAAACTCGCTGGCAATTCTGGCCTTGTCTTGCGCGGGTGTGTTTTCGTGGAGCGCAAAGGGCCGACTGTTTGGCTTCCTCTCAGCAAGAGCTCCCTGGAGCCGGTCAGCTGTGCTCGGCAAAGAGCAGAAAATCATGGTGGAACCTGCTGAGGGCTCGGTATCTTCCTTTTCTGCCTCGGAAAGCACCCAGAAAAGCTTGGCATCTTTGTCTCCTTTGAAGTAGTGGAAGCACTGTCTCAAGGTGGGTACCATGACCCCAGTATGTCCCACCATCTGAGCTTCGGGGAAGCGTTTTTGCAGCTCCTCTTCCCGTTCGTTGCTCAGGTGAGCCATGGCGAGGAAAAGTTGGGCTCCCACCGCTGCCGTCAAGAGTTCCTTGTCTGTCCAGTCGACAGATTAAATTCTCAGGGTTACATACATGGGTAGTTGTCAAAATCATGACCCCTTTCTGGGTACCCTAAATATTCGATGCCGTATTATATTTATATATTAAGGACCCCAAAAGGGACCATAACTTTGACAACCACCCACATAGGGATTGTAGTAGGGTTATATAGGCATTCTTTTGGGGCTCTACCGGAACCTAAGGCTGAAACGGGGGTTATATAGGGATTCTCGTAGCCCCAAATGCAAAGGGCATCTAGGATACCCAGTAACCTAAGAATAAAAAGGCCTCTCTTTTTGGTACTGGGTAACTTTGTAAGGAACCTAGGACTACAAAAAGGGAATAAGGGTACTACTGGGCATCCTAGGCATACTTCTTCTACTACGAAGGATCTTCGGTCTTCTCTCGCTGCTCGCGAAGAAGATCTTCACCGCCTGCAATTGCTGAGGGCACACAGAGCAGGAGGTCGGCTTCATCGATGGCCATCATTGCCACGTTCTTGAGATCGAAGCTGAGATTCTCACTTAGCCACTTCGGGGTGCCAACCCACAGCTGCGGGGCTGAGGCTGAGCTTCTGGTCTGGATGCTGTCATCCATGCATCTGAGTTCAACTGGGGAGCTGAGGGATGCCACTAATTTTGAGGCCAGTGCCACCACTTGCAGAGACAGCTGCTCTGTGGGAGCTAGAATCAAGGCATGATTTCCTCGGCTGAACGAGCGGATTTTGGTTTGGTCCGTCCATGTGTCTGCAGACGGGTTCCTAGAATCTTACAGCTGCTTAGAAAGTAAGCACATCCTGAACTGTCCGGGTCTCCACGCTGCGAACTTCTCCCGCTTGTCAGCTGATGCAGAATTGGCAAAAGGAAGGTGAGAGTCTTGCCAGACCCAGTCTGTGCACACACGATGAGATCACGGCCACTAAGTGCCAGCGGTATGGCATTTGCCTGAATTGCATTCGGGGCATAGATCTCCACCGCACGAAGGCCTGAAACCAGCTCCGGGCCTAAGAAGTCGGCAAAGGCTGCGTCTGAGTGCAGCTTTGACATTGCTTCCGCCAGCTCTAGCGGGAAGAAGCTCGCACTTACAAAAGGCTTGAAAAGGACATTCCAAGGCAAGAGTACGACTTAGATCACAGAACATGACCGCAAGTGTCTGTGTTTGTGTCCTTCTCAGAAGCTACCTGCTAGCTTCGGCCCCTTGACATGTGCATGTTTCGCCTGTTTCTATAGCGGTGCTGCTCTCAAAAGGCGGAACGAGCCCGGCCTTTCTCTTGGAGGAGCAGTAAAAGGGGAAGTCTCAGCAGCAGCACAAGTAGTACTAGTAGTACTCGTAGCACCAGTAGTGGTAGTAGCAGCAGGAGTAGCAGCAGCAGCAGCAGTAGCAGCAGCAGCAGCAGCAGCAGTAGCAGAAGCAGGAGCAGCACCAGGAGCAGTAGCAGTAGCAGAAGTTGCAGCAGAAGCAGTAGTAGTTCGAGTAGTAGTCGTCGTCGCCGTAGTCGTCGTCATACTGATCAGTACGAAAGCAGTAGCACGGGGTGTAGTACAAAGCAACCAGCACCGTCGTGAGGATCAACAATCAACAGAGCTGTCAGCCTTCAGATTGCTTGTTCCCCTAGCGGCGATGCCGTCTACGCAGAGCGATCTAGTTGCGCCCCGGGTGAGAACAGAAACCTGTGCATCAGTCTTGCAGACGTATGTATCCGTGGTGTTAAGTCCTAAACTAAACTGCAAGTAACGACGACTGAGCACATGCTTCACATCCAGTGGCTTCGATTTGTACGTCGTTGTCTCCACGTCACAAGCGCCGCGGTATCGAAATGAACCCCACCCTGCGGGACAGGGAGAATCGTCTGCATGGAAGTCATGCTGAGGCAAGCATAAACCATGTCCGTCAAATTAAAATGCACTTGCTGCAAGCAGCCATGGTCTGAGTCTGAGTGAGGGATGCGCAGCGCTTTGAACCTACGGTCTGGGCTGTGACTGATGCCTGCTCTCGTGTCGCGGGTTCCTCTGAAATCCCCCTAAGCCCTGAACCCCAAACCGCCAGGCCTAATTGATGTTGAAATGCAGTGTGGCCAAGGGGTTCGTGGCCTGACTTCAGCACGACGTGTCCTTACGTGGAGAATTTCTAAAAGCATTCATAGTGCCCTCAGCTACTGGGGCTAACATATTCTGACATATGCAGGCTTTCAGGAACTATGCCAACAGGCCCTTTGATTCTCTCAAGGATCCATGAATCATACGCTCCCTATGCCCTAAATTCGAAAGCCTCTACCCTTAGTTTCTCTGCTCCTCCCCTAAAAGGAACTGCATTTCATGTTTGTGATATGGTATCACGCTTCAATGTCTTATGTTGTGATATACCGTGTTATGCTAGCCGTGCTCTAAGTCTGCTATACCTTGAGATGGTACAACATTTTATGGCACAGTCGACAATCTTGTGTTGTGATATGGTATGTTATGGAAAGTGATGTTATGCTATGATGCATCTGTACATGTATGTGTACCAATATAAACACACATATGCATATACACAAATATGTGTATAGAGATCTACATGTATACGTACCTATTTATGCATGTATACATGTATGTGTGTGTGTGTGTCTCCCTCACACTCTCTTTCTGTATGTGCGTGTGTATTAAGTCTGTGTACATCGATGTATGTTATATATACATATATATATATATAGAGAGAGAGAGAGAGAGAGAGAGAGAGAGATGCTTGCATATTTATAAACATAATATATAGACATACACATATCTAGATATTCATATTTATGTATTTTTCATACCAGCCAACACCTGTTGTCGCCCCTATAAGAAACACGCCAAGGCCCCCTTGGGCCGGACCTGCAGACGCGGGCTACTTGCTCTTCAGCAGCCGGCCTCGGGGTCTCTTTGGCAAGCAATCTAGGAAGGGCAGTAGGTTATAAGTAGAGTTATAAGTACCCTAAATGGAGTTACCCCAATTTTGGCTGTCAGGGCTTGTGGCTGTAATCTAGGATACCCAGTAACCTAAGAATAAAAAGGCCTCTCTTTTTGGTACTGGGTAAATTTATAAGGAACCTAGGACTACAAAAAGGGAATAAGGGTACTACTGGGCATCCTAGTTACCCTACACCCCAAGCCCCTGAACCCTAAACCCTAAGACTCTAAACCTTAAACCCTGACCCCTCAACCCTGAACCCTAAACCCTAACCCTTGTATAAACTTCCCCAAGCCCTCAAACCTGCCTCAGCCTGCATCCGATAACAGCTCCTTGATCGAGACGATTTCGGGCAAATGCATCTGTCAAGAGCAGATTCAGAGAACCTTCGGCCTTCGACAACCACTTCGCGGCCCCCTACTGTCTGTCCTGTCCGACATGTGTACCCGGATGGATGTGAGACCTGTTCGGATTTTCGGGTTCAGGGAATCGGGGTGCAACAACCGTCGTGACATTGCGCTGTTCGCTCGCTGAACTTGTTATGCTTACATAGATAAATAGACCATTCTGATAATGACAAAGACCCCGAGCTACACCACACCACAGCAAAAGGAGGAGAGGAGAGTCCACCTACCATCATGTAGCCCAGCCACACCACACCACGGTGGTGGGCCGAGAAAGTCCACCAACCATTAGTAACCATAGCACGAGGTGATCATGTGTACACATCGTCCCGAGCCTAGACACTATAAACCCTAAACCCCTGGACCCCTGAACCGCTAAACCCCTACAGTAACCCCTGAACCCCTAAACTCTAAAACCCTAAACCGAAGCAAGCTGGGTCGCCGCACGGAGATCTCGGTGAGTCAGCTCCAGCGCTTCCACTTCATTGGCCTTGTCTAATTTTCAGAAGTCTAAATAATTATCAATACCGTGTTGGGGGTTCTTTTCTTTATAGTACAATATACACACGCTAGACTTACTATTTAAGGTCCCTGTATCACGGACCAAGACCGGAGGTGCATTGTAGCTCTGGCGGCCTCAAGAAGGTCAGCGCTTGAAATGCAGGGGGCTGAAGAGAAGGATTGGGAGGTTTAGGGAATTTGGGGCTTCAGGCTCCAGGTTTTTAGGGTCTCGGCGGTTATAAATCGAGCATGCCAGAACTCTAGCTTTCTGCACGAACGCACGAACGTCCTTCTGCCCGAAAATTAGCATTGGCGTCATGATGACTGTTTTGTACTACTTGCTTTATTGCCCTTATCTTTACCAGCTGTTAGTACTCTAGCATGTTTATTGTCATATTGTCTCAACACATGTTGTGACTATGGCTATCATCGCTCTAATACGGGTGCCTTAATAACTAGACCAGGGTTTGGGGGCCGATTTTACTGTACTAATAAGGACCCCCCAAAACAGTATCAGTATTCTTTCGGCCCCCTAAAGAAACGCCGATCCAACGTCTGGTTTGCACGGAAAAGAGTGCTCAGAGTGCACACCTTGACGAGGGGGTTTAGGGTTTGTTAGGGTTTAGGGTTTAGGGGGTGGTAAAAATTTTGACTCATGGTTCGAACTAGGCTCTATTGATGTCGAAGTATAGTGGTGACGCGGTACCCTAAGGCGTAGTATTAGCACTGATACGGGCTTCTATGAGTATGTCATGAGCAGCAGATATTGCTGCACGAATTTTGGGCATGAGTGTGTACCTTTCTTTCCCAACAAACCGCCTTATCACGATCGACTGCCGCCGATTGTCTTTGCGGTCTGTGACGGCTGGGAAACGGCAAGTCTCATGCGACTCAGCCCCCAGCCAAACTGCTTCGCTCCGATTCCAGTGTGCAGATCTCTTGCTTCATCTGCTCAACGGTTTCTCGCATTCGCGTGACCTGGTCAATATCTCTCGGTTTAGGGTTTAGGGTTTAGGGATATCTTTCGTGTCTTCGGCAGTACTGAATTAACACGCGAAGCCTCGGACACTGTAGCTTGGCCGACGAGTTGGTTTGTTCACAGAACCAATGCAAAGTGTGCCACAAACCTGGCATTGACATCTGCATTGGTGACACCGTGGACTTGGATCGTCAGAAAATACAAACCGGTGACAACGGCAACTTCAACAATAGTGTATAGCTATATCATAGATGTGACTCTTGACGTGTGGAGCGCGGGATACTGCGGGTCTGGGCAGGGGGCTCGGGAAGAGAGAGGGAGAGAGTAATATATATATATATACATGTATGTATGTGCATATATATATATATATATATATATATACATTTCCGACGGGGTTGTTATGTCGCTGTGCCCCCGTCGGTTTAATGTAGGTATCGGGAAGCACGAGTATATTGTCATCATCGACCATATATATATATATATATATATATATATATATATATATATATATATAACAATACAACACGATACACTATGCCCCTCCCCCATACGCCTAACGGCCTTCGCACTATACATCAGCTCTTTCGCTCTCTCGCCTGCTCTTTCATGTAGTTTCCCTTCCCCACTGCAAGGTGCCCCCAATTCGCGTGTCAGTCCGATGTAAGACAAGGCTCACGTTCAGGGGCTACTGCGCAGGATTCAAGATTTTATCAGGTGTCGGGTACTTAAAATCGTGAGTTTGGGCAAGGTTGTGTTTGCAGTTCTTAGAAACAAAACCTTTTTGGCTATTGCTTTTTATCACTTTGACTGAGGTCGTCTTTGGAGTTCTTTCTAAGCCGGAGCTTTTCTGCATGGCTCGTATGACCTACCTGAGTTCGGAGTCAGGGCCCGAGGCTATAGAAAGTAGGGACCCTGTAGGAGGTAAGGGGGGGGGGGGCTGTACTTCCTTCAATCGGCCTTAGTAGGTCCCCCTACCCCCCTGAGTGTCCCTACGATACTTGGCAAACGAATAGGAAGTAGCGAGTTCATCCTGCAGTATGAACAATAATCCTACTTGATTAATAAAGCAACTCGAACATTACTTATTTTAAACTGTAGTAGATAACTAGACTATAGATTGTTCAAGCGAAAAGCAGAAACCGTGGCGAAACGATTCGGCATAGAACAGACCAGATCCGGCTAGGAGTTTGGCACTTCGCACGTCGCTTCTATCCATCTCTGTCCTTCTGTCTTCCTCCATATCTCTCGCGCTCCCTCTCCCTCTGTCTCTCGTTTGAGAGATTGCACAGAACATTTCAGGGCGGCTTGTGGAATCATGCATATACCGGTGGTCGGAAAGACATGTTCAAGACGTCCGACATGCCGCTTCCCTCCGGCCCATGGTCTCATGGTAGTCCAGGGGTTTAGGGTTCAGGGTCTAGGGTTCAGCCACTCTTGCAAGACTAACTAGGCTGAACTCGAGTGCCACACCGCACCTAAAACCCCGAAGTAGAAGACTGAACGTGTCAAACCCCTAAACCCTAAACGCTAAACCCTAAACCCAAAACCTCCCGTTCCTGAATGCATCCAAGCTGAAGCGGAGGATTCCCAGCACGAAGTATCCTGAATCCACCCTAGAACCCGAACCTGAGCCCCCAAGTCTTCCCTCAACATCAACCCTAAACCCAAGCCCTCAAACCCTGAAGCCCTAAACCCTCATTTTGGGGACCTTTTTGCAACCCCATACCGTCGAAAGCAAAAGTCGGAACCCACAACCCTGTCATCTGTGCCTCTGCTGGCTCGCACCGCTGCGCTTCGATCGTTTTGCGCTTAACCTCTCCCGGCTGAGCTGGCCAAGAGCAGGGAGCAGCACTGATAGTCGAAGTCGTGGTGGTGGTGGTGGTGGTGGTGGTGGTGGCGGTGGCAGTAGCAGTAACAGTAGCAGCAGCAATAGCCGTAGCAGGTAGAAGAGTACACTACCATCGCTACTCCTCCTCACGCTGCTACTGACACTTCTAGTCGCAGCTGTTGTTGGTATTGTTGCTGCGGCAGGGGCGTAACAGCAAGCAGCCGTAGCAAAAGTTTTAGCAGCTGTGTTGATGCTGATGCTGGCAGCTAACGATGATGACAACTATGACGATCGCCCACTCAGAACGCTACCCGCCGTTTGCTATCATGACTGTGACCGTTCTGTTGGTACTGAGATTGCCGAATGGGACGTTGCTTCAGAACATGGGCAATAAAGTTGGATCCTTAATATCAGCATACCTAAATCAGGCCCCTGCCCCCACCCCACCCCTGTTAGAAAACACAGCAAATCAATGAACGCCAGATGTTCGAGCCTCTGCCAGCTGCCGATTCGTCTCTGCAAGCTGCCTCTGCCTGGCCAGCCGGACTCTTGAAACCTCTTCGGGTTTAGGGCTTAGGGGTTTAGGCCCCTTTTAAGGTTTTAGGGTTTAGGGTCTGGGCTTAGGGCTTAGGGGTTTAGGTCCCTCTTAAGGCCTCTTTCCACACCGTTTCCGTTGCAGAGAGCCCCATTTGGTGTTTGAGGTTTATGTTAAGGGGTTTCGGACTCAACAGTTGGAATAGGGTTCCTTTCCCGGGTTCTCTGAAGGGTTCGAAGAAAGGTTCGGTGTAGCGGCCGTAACAATCACAACAACGTGTTGGGGCACAGTATGCTCCCAAAGCATGTATGGACCCGAACCCTCAACCCTAAACCCTACCTAAACCCTAAACCCTCTACACCCTAAACCTTTCACCCACCCTAAATCCTATCGACCCTAGACTCTAAACCCTAAACCCTCTGTATGATAAGGGATGCCGGAGTGGCGTCTCCTTGATTTTCAAGGCCAATTCCTCTGCCCTGGCGGCTTCAGCAACTGCCTGGACGGCCGGAGGAGTGGCTTTGGAAGAGTTTTGCTTGGGCTTTGTGGGTTTAGTTTAGGGGGGCGGGTATATTCATGGCTTTACGGTGTTCTAGGTCCCACGGGTAGTCGAACTTTGGTGTGATTAAACTTTAACTCCCAACACTTCTGAGGCCGCCACCAAGTGATCCCTCTTTTCTGCGTCCTGAGGACATTCGACCGTGGAAGTAGGGCTTTAGGGCTTCATGGTTCAGGGCTGTAGGATTCTAGGGTTTATTCGGTCGAACCAGCCGCAAGCTGCTAACGAACTGAAAGCTCTAGCCGCTTACAGCTCATGTTGATGCCAATCTAAATCCGTTTCATAGGTGCTCACGCTGCCTCCTTTGGAACTATCTACTCCCTTTACTGCAAGCTTCTGACGGACCTGGAGCAACTTCTGCGCTATCTGCCGCTCGCGCCGCGACTGCTGCAGAGCCTGAAGGGAAGCTGGATTTTGCGAGGTGGCTTTTCGAGCACGCGAATCATGCTAGGGTCCTTTGGTATGAGCACATTAATCCCTTCCCCAGAATATTAAACGGGGCCCCCTGCCCAATAGAAACTCTGAAAGTGTTTTTATTATTCGGGCGTATCTTCATTACTACTGCCACTTTTGAGGGGTCGTGCTCCCGCTCTGGCTCTTGCTCCTGCGCTGGCTTTTGCTCGTGCTTCTGCTGCGTCGCTTGTGCCTGCTCCTGCTCTTCCCTTTGCTCCCGCTTTTGCTCCTGCTTTTGCTCTTACTCCCGCTCTTGTTTTTGCCTTGCTCTCGCGGCTGCTCTTGCTGATGCTCCCGTTTTTGCTCTTGGTCCTGCTCTTGCTGTAACTCCTGCTCTTGCCGTTGGTCTTGCTGTTGCTGTCGCTCTTACTGTGCTCTGAGGGTATTTGGAGCCTCGAAACCCTCCCCTCTAATTCAGGACAGGTTTTACAGGGCAGGGACAGGGATGGTTTCGGGAGGGTTCGCCCCAATGTGGTTGTATTATTGGGGGGGTGTTTAATAAAAGGGGGAAGGAATTATGATGATAGCAATGGTGAGGATAATGATAGCGAGGAAGCCGACCGACCAACGTGCCTACGCTGCAACTACAAGACAACGGCTACTGCCTTTCACAGCCGCATCCTACGCGCCCTGTGCCAAAACCTGAATGTGCGCTGCAGGTGCGACGAAACCCTTGTAAAGGGGTCCAAAGATTGTACCTTGCAAGGTGGACACAACCTGTTTCGGAGAGGCGAGAGCTGGCTTGTGCAGTGATCACGACTACGTCTACGAGTACGACGATGACGACGACTAGAATGCTGCTGCCACTAAGACCAGCATGGCCGCGATAGCAGTGCTCTCTAGGAACACAATGCGAAGAAAGGCAGAGGTAACAGCAAAAAGAGGAGTACTGCTAGCAGGTCTACCTACAGCATTACTGACATCACCATCCTGCCATGCCGCCACTGCCGGAACCAGCGGCAGCAGGAGCAGAAGCAGCAGCAACAGGACTGCTGGCTGGTGCCACCAGCATCATCGAAAATAACCCCAACACGCGATAGGTAATCATAGCAACTGTTAGAACAGCAGCAACAACACAAACATCAGCAATCACCTGGCGCAGTTACTAGTACAGAGGCACCAACAGCAGCAACAGCAACGGCAGGATCTCAATTAATGGACGACTAACTTGGGAAACAAAGGTGGCCCTTACAGTATCCTTATAGTAGCCCTTATAGGACATAGCCCTTACACTAGCCCTGTAGTCTCGAAGTTGCGGAACAAACGAGTACTTGATCACGAGGCTTCGGATTCTCACTTCCGCTGGAACGATTGTTGATGTCCAGCTCTGCAAACACGGGAATTTCCGAAAATTAGGGACCCTAATATATAGTACCCTAAATAGTATAGGATCCTTATTGTAAGGACCCCAAAATAAGGTACCCCTAACTTTCGGAAAGCCCCACATGCTTATGGAGACCCCAAATTTTCAGCCCGAACCCTGCAACCCTTTAACCCGAAGCTCCTGAACGCTATACCCTGAACCTAAAGCCCACCGAAACCCCGAAATCCTAAACCCCTATAACTCTAAACCCCTAAACCCCTGAACCCTAAACCTTGAACCCTCAACCCCTAAACTCCCTTAAACCCTAAACCCTAAACTCCCTAAACCCCAAAACCCTAAACTCCCGAAACCCCTAAACCCCTGAACCCCTGAACCCTAAACCCCAAAACCCTAAACCCCTGAACCCCAAAACCCTAAACCCGCCACTCTCAGTGCCTCTTTGAGCTCCATGACCTGCGCCAAGGGAATGCGTTTCGCTGCGCCGGCTTTTCGAGTTTAAGCGTTTAGGGTTGAAAGGTTCAGGGTGTAGGGTTTAGGGTTAGGATTTAGAATTTAGGATCAGGGTTTAGGGTTCAGGGTTTAGGATTTAGAGTTTAGGGGTGTAGGGTTTAACGGTTAAGGGTTTAGGGTGTAAGGTTCAAGGTTCAGTGTTCAGGGCGGGCTGGGCCGACGGGAGCGGTAGGGTTTAGTTGAAGGCCTTAGGGTATAGGTCTATGCGGAATAGGGTATAGTATAGGGTTTAGGGCCTTTTAGGGTTCATTTAGGGTATAGGTCTATACGGACGGAATAGGGTATGGTATAGGGTTATTAGGGTTCATGGGACGCAAGTACTCTTGCTGCTACTGCTTCAGATGAGACTTTAGAAATCGTCGCATCTCCCCAGCCTCGTAACGTGCCCTCGCTGCTTGAACCCACAATGCTCGGGCATGGTCGAGTTGCGAAGCATCCTGGACGTCGGCCTGCTGCTCCGAACTCTTTAGGATTGTTTTAGGGGGTTTTGGGACTCAATTACGGGGTTTAGGGGGATTTTGGATTTAGGATCGTTTCAGGGGGCTATACAGTAGAAGCCAGAAAGACCTTAAGGGCATGAGGATAATGACGTTCCAACTTTCTGGCTTCTACTACACTCTGTAGGAGGGAGGGATCATGGCGGGAGCGATGGTTTCCCAGACAGGCATGACAGCCCATACAGCCGCAATATGAAGCAGTAATATAAGGGACTTTCCGAAAATAGGGGACCCCAAAAGAATACCCGAAATAGTAGGATCCTTATTATAGGGACCCCAAAGTAAGGTACCCCAATTTTTCGGAAACCCCCATAACACACCAAATGCCATGGTCATCATGACATGTTCTACCGAGTACCGCATAGCGGCCTCTGGCAATGTGCAGTAGTATGCTGCAACATTTCCAGGAGATCGCAAGGAATGCATCACACTAGTCGGTGCTGTGAAGCAATCTAGAATCATATCAGTCTACATACATCTAAGTATACAACTTGTACTCGCATACACATGGCTGTATACAAGCATGCAGATATTAATCAGGCATACACAAAAAGTGCACTAACACTGACCGCATGAACAACCTTGCACAACATGTACCCACGCATGCAGCACGAGATGATTGAAAAGCACATACAACTGAATATTGCAGAGTGGCTTAGCTGGCATGCAAATGCATAAAGCTTCAGAAGGCAATCTAGAAGAACATGACGTATATGAATGTTCGATACTGTACGGCAGCATGGTCACATATGCTCAAGACAGACTACACAACCGAGCTGACCACAACTAGAGAACCAGCCAAACCACGCAGGTACATTAACAGATCGAACAGGACGATTCGTAGGTTGGCGGCCATCAGGTGGCCTCGCTACAGCATTCCCCGGTCCCTGCCATTGCCATGCGGGCGCTCCTGACCGCAACTTGTCATAAAACATGCATCATGAAGCTCATGTTTACTGCTTCGGGTTCAGCTTGGGGCGAATCAAGGCATGATCTGACTGGGTGACTGGCCTCAGACATGACGAACATGGACTGCTTCGCCAGACACTCCCGCTAGTGTAGACCCTGAACCGTAGACTGTAGAGTCGAGCTCCACGGAACAGACAACAAACGAGCAATGCACCTTCAGTAGATAAGCTGCCACCCCAAAAAACATACCAGGTTCGGTGATGCACAGAAAGCGCAGAGAGACACATATGCATGATGCATGAAGATGCACTTCTGTGTTCAATATGTACATAGACATGGACGCATGTGCAAACATGATGCATGCATCCTTCGACATGCATACATGCCGAAGGACATATCTCTATGTGTGTGTATATATATATACACATATATGTACACATGCAGTCAACCAATCAATCAATCAATTAATCAATCAACCAACCAACCAGCCGCGAAAACAAACAAACAACCAAACAAACAAACAAAACAACAAACAAACAAACACACACACACACACACACACACACACACACACACACACACACACACACACACACACACACACACACACACACACACACACACACACACACACACACACACACACACACACACACACACACACACACACACACACACACACACACACACACACACACACACACACACACACACACACACACACACGCACATGCAAACGAACATACGCACATAACGGTCATGGTAATCATCATCACAACAGAAACAACTACCATGAGATCCTGTCGCACGCTACCCGGCTGCCGTTGCCTTCCGGCCTGGCAGGTTGATAACCCAGCTTCCACGGCCAAAACGATCGAAAATGGCCTGTTGGGGTCGGGAGCTCTGTAGCTACGCAATAGGAGCCGAAAGAGACGACGGAAGTGTGAGAATCCAAGAAATTCAGTCTGTCCTACCCGCTTCAAAGCAGAAGACCTACTTCTATCTATCGAGTGTTCAGAGGGTATCTGTCGTTTTTGATGTGGCGATCCGGCTACAACAGTGTGCCAGGACAGTCAAGCTCATTGCTGGTCATCTTTTTCCGTTCAGCGGCCCGGTGTGTTCAAGCCACATAAACTGACAAACTTCTAGACCTACCACATCCTACCAACCTACCTTGGTCCATTTAGGACATTCGTGCATGCCTCTAGGTTCGAGATGAGCGACCCATCGGACGCCGGAACACCGTGAGTGGGAACCGGGTGGACCCAGCACACCCAGCACATATAGTAACATAGCAACCCCCACACTAACCGATACACTAACCTGTATAGTAACCCCCTTACTAGCCCTTATGGTAAGTAACCTTTTCGAACACAGGGCCGCCGGCTTCTAGCCGAACGGGGCGATGGGAACGCTTGCATTCATTAGCGGTCCGGTGAAGTCCGCTGCAGTGATGGCAGCCGTGACAGGATCCATGGACCTGCAACTGCAGCCTTTGTCTGCTGGAGAACAACAACCCCAAACCCTACTTGGAGGTTCTTTGGGGGAGTTATAACTGGGGTTATAAGTCCCTTAATGAGGGTTATAAGTATAGTTACCTTACTTGTAACCCAATTATTAGCACCCATGAACCTCCAAGTAAACCCCCACACCCTAGACCCATGAGTCGAAGAGAGTCCATCAAGCCTCATCGCTTGCCCGCTGCGGTCATCTCATCCAGCTGCTGGATCTGAGGGGCGTCGATATGTTATGTTCGCTTTCCTGGTCTTAACTTACACTATATTATACAGCATGATATTCTTGTCTGTGGTATTGTATGATATTTCAATATACGAACATAGCTACTTAGTTCCTAGCTCTTACGATTAGCATATTCTTATAGTACACATTATATATCTTACTCGAGTTTGCCAGGAACCCTGCGCTGCCCAGTTGGGGTTCGGGCCCAATCGGCTTCCCAGTCCTGCTCGACTTCATCTGCCTGCACATTTTGAGGTTTTCGAAGACTTACGGGTTGGGGTTAGGGTTTAGGGGCTTAGGGCTCAGAGCTTAAGGGCATTATCGCAGCAAGCAGGGCGAGAACCGAAACAGTTCGATTCTGCAGTAAAAGCTTGCAGGAGCCCCCGCTCTCTCTGCAGCATCCATAGGCAACAGACCATCGCAATCTCAGACGTGGACACAATTCCGCATCGTGAATAAACCAAAACGAAGTGAATATACATACATGTCCCTATATATATGTACATATGCACAGAACTGTACGCAATACACATATGTATATATATATATATACACATATATACACAAGGTACATCTAGTTTAATGATACTCAACCCAGCAAGACTAGACAATAAAAGTAATGCTAATGATAAGAAGAAGAATCTGCAACAGTAGCTATAATAGCAATGATAGTAACAACAATAAGAAGCAGAATAGTAGCAGTACAAATAATGACAATAATAGCAATAATAGTATTGAGGACAGCACTTTGCAATAATCATGGTAATCATAATCATACTCTGAAAATGGATTTTCGTAAACACAGAAAAAGAGAGAGCGAGAGAGAGGAGAGAGAGAGAGAGAGAGAGAGAGAGAGAGAGAGAGAGAGAGAGAGAGAGAGAGAGAGAGAAAGAGAGAGAGAGAGAGAGAGAGAGAGAGAGAGGGAGAGAGAGCGCGAGCACTCCGCTGCCTCTTCGAGCTCCGAGAAGTTGCTCTGGAAAGCCTTGAGGTCCTGCGAGGTGGATGCCGTAGGACTCAACGGGCTCGAAGAAGGATAATGGCCGGGGTTAAGTTTAGGGTTTAGGGTAGAGGGCTGGGTTAAGCTTGCTTTGGCCGGGTTAAGTTTAGGGTTTAGGGTTTAAGGCAGGATAAGGGAGGAATTTCAGTAAGATGCTCCCCTCCCGTACAGCAATACAGATATACCCCAAGCCCCTATTCTAATTGTCAAGCCCGCGATATGTAGGGAAAAGTCACGTGATGGCGCTAGGCGATGAAACCATTGACATCTAAAGCATGATCGTGCCAACAACATAACTGAATTTTGGGCTTTAGCATCCAGGGCCTAGGGTTCAAGCTTTCGGGTTGGATCTCCGCTGAACAAATTCGATGCCTGCCCCGAACTACGTCGCACACCAGCATGCACTGTGCTTTCGTGAAGTTGTCGCTTGGAGAAGCGGTAGTAGCGGTAGTGGCAGATAGTGGCAGTAGTAGAGGTAGAGGTAGAGATACAGGTAGAGGTAGTGGTAGTAGTAGTAGTAGTAGTAGTAGTAGCAGTAAGTCCGACTACTACTCCTAGTAGTCGTCGTTGCCGCAACTAGTTGTGGAAGACGCGGAAAGCAACCGCTTTTTCGTGCCGTCAGCAACACCCCAACCCCCAAACCCTAGCACCAAACCCCCTAACCCCGAGCCCCTAAACCCCGAGCCCAACACCCGATGCCTCCAAGGAAGCCGGCTGGGGTTCGCTGTCCTGCGGAATCGCTGGTTCTTGCAGGATGCCCCTTAGAGGAGGCAGGGGAGGGTTTAAGGAATGATTCTGTAGGTATCTTAAGAATTAGACTAGGCTTCGTTATATAATCAAGGCCCACTAAGGCTTTTAATGCAAAGGCCTTTACAACTAGAACGGGGGCGTCGGACTATATTATTCATTGCATAAGTGCTAACCGATTTTTAGGGAAGGGGGACAATTTCCTATATATTAGACACTTCGGAATGTGGGTGCAGCCCGTCTGCCTTTACATGAAAGCAAGACCCGCACACAAGGAGCACCACAAGCGGCACGGAACAGTGCAACGTCCAACGGCAACTGATCTTGTAGAACTGTTCTCTAGAAAAGGGGATTACGAACAGTATCGCGTGATAGCTTGTAATTAGCAAAAAGCTGACGATGGTCCGAAACTCCGAACTGACTGGCCGGGCCGAGATCACCAATGCATCGACATGCTAGCGCCTGAAACCCTCGGCCCACAATCCTTAACCCCGAAATCTCTTGACCGTGAGATCCCTCAACTCTAAATATCCCTAAGCCGAAACCCTAAAACCCCTAAACCCTAACCGGAACCCAAAGCAGTCCTCATCCATGCCTGGTGGAAGGCCTTGCATGGGTCTCTCCCTGCGGCCTTTCCGCCCGTTCCGCCTGGCAGGGAAAGCTCAGGGCTTAAGAGGGGAAGTAACCTAGGGGGTCTAGAATTAGAATTAGAATAGGGTTCCTATTAAAGGGGCCTAAAAGGGCTGCTATACGGATCTATAAGGGCACTTCAAAGCCCTTATGTTAACTTAGGGGGTCCTATAGAATGAGGATCGGAAAAAGGCTCCTGCTCTGTGTGTCTAAGTCTACGGGTCCCGTTCTCTGATGACGAAACAAGACTTGCGTGGAAGCCCGAACGGCCCTGCGCAAAGCCGGGGACCCGGAACAACGGCTCCTGGAATTAACAGTCGGGCAACCCTAAACTCTGAACCCTAACCGCTAAGCCCTAAACTCACTCTAAACTCTAAACCCTAAACCGCAACACTCGGGAATCTGTACACAATTGAAACCCTGGGCTCCGAAGATTCAACCATTCTCAGCCAACAAATAACCCTAAACCCCTACTTCTACACTGGGGTTTTGTTGGTTCTGCACGGTCTTGTACTAAGGGGGCTGCTCTAGGTTCGTTCTCAACGAAGCTCAGAGGAATTCCGCAACGATCCGAAACGACCTCAAGGCTGTCCTGGACGAAACAGATCGAAAAGAGATCAAGAGTGGGTGCGGCCGTGTGGGATTTATGTGGATGGATGACGAAACCGGGGTGAGGATACACTGGCATAGCTTCTGCCTATATAGTTCTAATGAGGAGCCCCCGAAATAGTATTGGAAATTGTGAAAACCCCTAATCATACAATAGCAGGACGCAGCAAAACCAAACCCTGAACCCAGTCCCCAGCAAACCCTGCTGCCTCCTCTCGCGGGAGTCCTCGCGGAGGGGCGTGAAACCTTCCAACTCCGAGGCGTCGATTTCGCCCTCCATGCCTTACGAAGCTGAGCACAGCCACGTGCTTGGTGATTTCCTGTGGCTTGTCACACGCCTTTGAGCGTGTTGGGTATGATTGTGTGTGTGTGTGTGTGTGTGTGTGCGTGGTTTGTGTGTGTGTGTGTGTGCGTGTTTGTGTGTGTGTGTGTGCGCGTGTGCGCGTGTGCCCGTGTGCGCGTGTGCGCGTGTGTGCGTGTGTGCGTGTGTGCGTGTGTGCGTGTGTGCGTGTGTGCGTGTGTGCGTGTGTGTGCGTGTGTGTGTGTGTGTGTGCGCAATACCAAAGGGCACCGGGGATAACTGGTGCAACGAACCTCAGTCATACATCCGAAAACTGAAACCATCAAAGGCCCACTTGATGCACCTTCGGAACTGGACCCCGCCACGATAGCCAGCCGCACAGGTGCGAGGGATCAGTGCAACAGTTTGCTTCTCATTTTATGTCCGAGAGTTGGCGCACCCAAGTGGCTTCAAGGGAAGGGTGCGCATCTGGCTGTGAACTCGGAAAACCAGTGTGATACGCTCCAATTTCATGCAAGCTATCACAAGGGAGGCTGATCGCGGCTGTGATGACTGCTGGGCCTAGATCTTGGCTTGCTTTGTGTTGCCGCTTCTGCTGCTCATTCTTTGCAACAGGTGTTGCAAAGTCCGACTCTGTCTACTTGCAAGGTGTGCTTGCCGGGTTTCCCGTCGCCGAACCAGGCCCTAAACCCTAAACCCCTAAACCCCTAAACCCCTAAACCCTAAACCCTAAACCCCTAAACCTGAACCCCAAGACTTGCTATGGTCAGGGGCCTGAGAAGGCTTTCTGCATCTTCGCCTGCCTTCGCATGGACTTCTGCTTCTTTGGTTAAGCGTCTGCGCGGCTTTTGGGAAGTATCAGAGTTGGGTTGAAAGAGGGTTGTGTGGTGTAGGTTTAAGGTCTGGGGAGTTGTTACGCCCTTTTCCATCTACACACAATGCGGGTCACTCCTTCCAAAAATACTTGGCAACACACATCTTGTCCTCGCCGGAAATATCACTCAACTGACACCACAAACACGTCCAAGACGAACACGGACCTAATTTCACCTTAAGGCTTCGGGTTTCAGGCTTTGGGGTACATTGTCGAATGATCATAGAAGTCACATCTTTTGTGATGTAAGACTGCATCCGGATACCTGGGGAGCTCAAAAAGTGGCTTGCAGGCAGGACCCTAGCTACCTTCCAGGCTCCAGAAAGAAGACTGCCTGAGTCACATGAGCTGGACCCGTAGTACAACCTTCTCCTGGCCGTTGGCCTTCCATGTCAAATCCTGATAAGCCTTGACGGCACAAGCACGTAACACGGATGAGCCTACCTCGCCTGCTTTCATAAGTCTGCATCCGCTCGATGTCTGTCTGAAATGTCATCTGAAGGACGAAGCTTGAACATCCAAATTGTGGTCTAAATTGAACGGGTATCATGCACGAAGGACGAAGTCACAAGATGAAGCCCGGTTTCCGGCTTCTACGCTGCTCAAGACCATTCAAGACCACATAGTCAACGGCTTCTTGCTGCAGAACTTCGAAAGGTTCCCTTGGTGCCTTGACAAGGGATCGCCATCCGGTCGCTTGAGAATGGTGGAGCCCTTGAGCCTGAGACGAGCTCAGGCTGACACGGTTCAGGTCTCCAGGAGCTGCTTGACTAGACCCAAGATTAACCCAGGCATAAACAGGATGCCCTTTTTGGTTTAAAGGGGCTTACAAGGGAACCTGAACCCTAAAAAAGGGAATAAGGGCCTACTCTGGGTCCTAGTTGAGGCACATGTGTAGCATCTTCCGGGCTTCATTGCCCTCGAGGCTTTGTGGAGTGTGTCGTTGCAGAGAAACCCCATGAAACCGCCATCCGGCTGGCGGAGCCGCTCTGTGTCCAAATCCAGGTATCTTTAAAAGAGTTGCTGTTGATGTGGTGCATGTCCTAGGCCTCCGGAACGACCCAACATATTCAACCGGGAATGGAGTTCTCTCTTGGTCCCGACTTGTTTCTGGAACACGCCCTTGAAGTCACGAAAGCCCTCTTGCACTCAATTGCGGCGCACCTCCGAATTTCCTTCGGAGTGAGCATTCTGTATGAGCCAGCCTGGCCGCTTCAGGAATTACCGTGCAAATCGGAACTCGGTTGCAAGGCGATCGCCTGTGGGAGGCCGTAGAGCCCGAGCTCTAGTAATCGGTAATTACTTCTATAGTCATGGGGAAGTTGCCCTTCACATTCATCACTTGCATGCCAAGAAGACTTAGAACTCGATGTAGGATTCCGACAAGATTTGTCTACCTGCTCGGCTTCATATCATGATCATTGCCATTACGACCATTATCATCGTCAGCATTATACGGCTTGCAACCATCGGCTTGTCTGGCCATCGTTCTTGCCATTAGTACTGCGTTGCTCGCTGTCGTCGTTCCTATCTGGTACCCCTTGCACATCAGAGGTACGATCCCAGAGCCAGTTTTAAAGGGGCGGGGTTCCCCCCGATTACTACTAACACCACGGTTGTGACTTCCTCATGACTTGCTCTTGCTACTTCCGTTGTGCGTTCGTGGCTGAAAGCCTGAGAAAGTGCTTCACCAAACAAACTAAGGGCTCAGACAAACAAAACGGATGTTGTCGTCCCACCTCTCTTCTTCCAGGAACCAGGGGTCCAACAACACCAACAGAAGTTGGGCCCTGCCGTTACAACTGCCACTGGTATTAGATTGAGACTCCAAGTACGGCTAAGCTACGCGATAGCCTTGTCAGCATCGATAGGCCTGCCAGCCCTCTTGCTGCAATTCAATTCTGAGATCCTTGTTCTTCCAGTGAAACACTCCTCTTCTAGGTAAGCGAAATTGTTCTTCTGCTCCTTCTTCTTCTCATTGATGCTGCTGCTGTTCCTCTGCTCAGCTTCTCTCCAATATTCTATCTACTTGCGAATCTACTGTAGCGAATTGTTGTCTACAGCCTCAACCCAGTAGTAGCAGTCAAGTCCGGCGTGGGCGTGATGCCCAAGATGATGACAACAGCGCAGCAATCATCTCTTTACAAAGCCAAACTCTAACAAATCCCTAAAGCCCCAGAAACTCCAAATCCCGATGCCCTGGAGTCATGATCCCGAAACTCTGAAGCCCCAACAGCCCTTAGAGTCATCCCACCTTGAGCTCCTTATCCAGGCGTACCAGGCCGATCCTTGACAATGAATCGTTTTTTTCACGTTTTTTCTGCGTTCCAGGTGCCCAAGAAAGGGTTAAGGGTTTAGGGTAGCGGCCAAGGGTCACAAAATCATCATGTACTTCGCATACACTAGCCTACATTTCCACTATCCTAAGCCCAAGTCCCAGAGGCTCCAAAACCCTTAAAGGGTTTAGGGTTTAGGGAACATACTAGTATCATGTTGGGGTTTCTATCAACATTGGGGTTTCGGAGCTTCTTGGGTGCCAACTTACTAAGTATTTTGGGCCTTTCAGGTTCGGAAAAATTTCAGGCGCAAGGTCCCAGACAACAGGGCTTGTCATGCGCCAATACTGGTGGTATACCTTGTTCTGTTGAACCTGAAGGGCTCTCATAGTAATCAGGATACTACATGGTGCTACAAAGGCGTTTCTATGACATGGTGTGCCCCCTGGTTTAAAACGAAACTGTTGCAACCTGAGTAAACAACAAATACCCAACGTTCAAAGCCCTCGTCTTGGAGAGGATGCATTCCCGTGCACTGCTCGGCAACTACATTGAAGTTGTGTAAACCCTCTAAGACCCTAAGCTATCCTACATCTGATCGTGTGTGTATGTTTCTGGTTTTATGCATGCGTATACACATACATTGAAACACATATACATATCTGCCTAGAAACACAAGCTTATACAAACAAATATAGGTTCTAAATAAACTACAGTGTGTATATATACATATGTACATACACACACATCCATACATATACAAACTGTACAAAGAGATGAAAAGAAAAATTGGATAAACATGAACCTAGACATACATGCATGCACGTATACATGTGAGTGTTTTCAAGTGTGTGTGTGTGTGTATACACGAATATACATCAAACAAATATACATATACATATATATATATATATATACATGTTGTTATATATATATATATATATATATATATATATATATATATATATGTATGCATACACATACAAATACAGACACATAATAATGATAACATATATATATATATATATATATATGTATATGTATATGTATATAATTATAGGTATTTGTAGTGAGCACCTGTAAGCCGAGCAATGCGCCAACAGAACCCTAGAGGAAAGAACTCGGGTCCCGACGCTGTTCTCTTCACAGCCTTGCACCCGCGTGTGTAGAGGGTGGTTCGAGAAATCGGGTTCCTTGAAAGGGTGCTGCAAGGGCATTATGCATTGTTAGCTTCCTTCACTGAAGTTAGACCCCTAGCAACAATTAGAGTACTAGCAACTATTTCTAAGTACCCTGAGGTTCAAGCACCTGTAAGTTGACAGAACACGCGCCGATCAGGTTTTCGGCAGTGTGTCAGGCTTTGTGATTGTATAGGACAGAGCCTCGGAACCACAAGGTAAATGAAGTCAAGAGCTTTAGGTCAAAAAACTGGAGTTGAGGAATCAGCTGTCACGTCCCTCCGTAACTGTATCTGCACACTTGGGACATGTGTGGTCAACAGAGATGCAGTTGGAGCTGCGCTTGCAGTCGCGCTCCGGGGGGTATTGCACACTTTCCTGCAAGGAACCCCTGCTGTCCTGCCACTGACCTGCCCAACCGTGCTCCCGACCCGCAAGGGGTGACCGATGTACTCGAACATCCGCAGAATCTGTCGGTACCTCAGCGGCAGGGGCAGCGACTGAAATCGATGCAAATGTGGACTCTGAAGCTTCTGTTGCGGTAGCAACGGTCGCGAACCCGGCGCACTGACCCTCCTTCATGGTAAACGACAGGGCTGCGATGCCGTTGACGCGGTCGTGCTCCAGAACCTGCCGGCGCATGAACACAAACCTCCAAGCCCGGCAAGATGGATCCCTCAAAAGGAACCAGCTTCCAGACTCGAATTGTTTACTTTAACCCCCATAGCGCAAGCAAACACAGAACCACACCACACCCCCTTGTCCCCCTAAACGCTTAAGGCAAAGCAGTAATCCCGTTCCGCCGTGCCGTCGCCTGTACCCTCAACCGTAAACCCTAAACGCCTAAACCCTAAATCCCTAAACCCTATATACCCTAAACCCTAAGCTCTAGACGCCTAAATCCCTAAACCCTAAAACCCTAAACGCTAAACCCCTAAACCTTCAAGTCCGCCTCCAGCTCTTCCAGAGGAAGGCACGGCCGTCGCTGATCCGGCAGGCGAAGCCCACGACTCAAGGCCTCGCTATAGGCAGGGGCCTACTATAGGGGCCTTAATAGTGAGAATAGGGTTCCTTTAAAGGGATCCTTAAGAGGGTTCTAGAAGGAATCTATAAGGATACTATAGGGGCCTTAATAATGAGAATAGGGTTCTGTTTTAAAGGGTTCTGTAAAGGGGTCTGTAAGGGATCTATAGTAGGGTACTTTCGCATAGGGACCTTAATAATTAGAATGGAAATTTGGAGTATATTAAACCATAATTGTAATAAGGAGACCCCAGAATTGTATGGGTGGGTATAATGAGGCCCCTATAGTACCTAGAACCGCCAAAACCTGGTTCTAGGATTCCCCGCAACCTAGGAACAAAAGGGCTCCCTTGTTGGTATTGGGTATTTGATAAGGAACCCAAGACCACCTCGTTTGTAGGATCACTAAAAAATCCAAGATTAGGGCTTCGAGTAAGAAACTGCAAAAGAGTAGGTTATTTGTATATGGCATACTCTAGTAGAAAATTCGGTGAATTAGGGAGTTCTGCGAATTTTGGAACTACTTTAGTGCAGTTCGGCTTTTGACTTTCGGAGTGCGCATGGGAAGTTCACTGGTGGCAGGAGTTTTCACAGTTCAGAGTGCAGACGAAGTTGGCTTGATGAGTAGTTGTAAGCTTGCTTTGGCGCTGCCCTTGTCATCTATACTACCGATTGTACGTCGGCTTTCTTGGGGCAGGTTCCATCATGCGTTCGGGGCAGAAGCTGATGTGGAAAGGAAAGATTAATGAGCGGGCGACGGAAATACAAACGAATGCGGGATCAACGCCCAGGTGGAAAGGGGGAGCCCTCAACTCCAAATCGTGCTGCATTTGGGCTCAAAGCTCGAGTAAAAAGCAGGGGTGAATACAATAATTAAGATACACACACAAAGAGATCATTACCATGAGTCCGGCAGTAAGACCAAGACAGAAAGGAACCAACCAGCAACTGCAAGCCACTGCAATGGCTAGCCACACAGTGGGAAGCCCAAACAAATGGGTAGGATCTTTCCAGGGTCTTACATGGTGGGATATTGACGACGGCCATGGCTGCCAAATGGAATTAACATGATTAGACTCGATATCAACTGCCATGGAACCGAATCGAGCAGGGTGAAACGCCATGGAGTGGCTTGAACTGCAGTCGGAAGAAGCAGAGTGGAATTGCAGAACAAACCGCAAACTACTGCGGCAGGCGACATCTTTGTGGCAAGGGACACAGACGTAGAAGAGAGTGTCACACACACACACACACACCTTGGCGTCTCAGCAAGCTTGCAAAACATCACTGGAATGCATCCATTCCCATGTTGGCCCGGGCCTGCATCTTCTGGCTATCCGGGGCCCCCTCGTAGACCACTACCTTTTTGGCATTGTGTTGGAAGGAACCGAAGTTGCTACTACGACTACTACTACTACTACTACTACTACTACTACTACTACTACTACTACTAGTACTACTAGTACTACTAGTACTACTAGTACTACTAGTACTACTGCTACTGCTACTACTACTACTGCTACTGCTACTACTACTACTCCTGCTGCTGCTGCTGCTGCTCCTCCTCCTCCTCCTCCTCCTCCTCCTCCTCCCTCTGCTGCTGCGTACTATTGCACCTGCTACTCTAGTGCTATCCCTTCGCTTGACTTTCTCTTCAATAGGCAACTCATCACTGCTTCGAGGTCCCGGCTCTGTATCGTCGCGTGATCTCGTAGCGCGGGTGTGTCTGCCAAGCCCGAATGCGGCTGCAGCTTAAGAACGAAGCCCATACTGTGTCAACATTGGCGTCAGGGAACCCAGAGACTCCAAAACCCCTAAATCTGCCAAGCCCGGTTGCCAGTGAGAATCCGACATATGTGGGTGGTTGTCAAAATTATGGCCCCTTTGTGGGTGCCCTCAGTACTAGGTGCCGTATTATAAGGAAGACCCCCCAAAATAAGAAAAAGGGACCCTAATATTGACAACCACGGCATGTGACCCTAGACCGAAATCCTGAACTCTGAAACTAAACCCTAAACCCTAAACCCCTAAACCCCTAAACCCTAAACCCTAAACCCCTAAACCCCTAACCCCTAAACCCCTAAACCCCTAAACCCCTAACCCCTAAACCCTAAACCCCTAAACCCTAAACTAAACCCTAAACCCTTAACCCTAAACCCCTAAAAACCCTAAAAACCCTAAACCCCTAACCCCTAAACCCCTAAACCCCTAAACCCCTAACCCCTAAACCCTAAACCCCTAAACCCTAAACCGTAAACCCATAAACCCTAAACCCTTAACCCCTAAACCCTAAACCCTGCCTCCGAGAGCCGAACCAAAAATTCTCTGACCACCCTAATCCCCGAAGCACGACCACGCTAACGACCCAAACTCTAAAACGAGCCGCGAAACATAAACAATTTTATACAAAAAGCATTTAAATTTTTTAAGACCACTAACACAAACAAATACCCCAAGAGGGAGTTGCGAAACAGCTTTGCAAAGCTAAACGATTTGGGGTCTTAGGGCTTTTGGGGTTGCAGGTCCTGGGGCCGAAAAGCGCGACAGGAACGCCAAATATGTGGCCCACTCATAGTCGTTCGTGAGCAGCACCAGGCCTGAAGTTTGCGATCTGTCGCGTCGGTTTAAGGGTTACAGTAAACCCCAAAAAGTTGGAAAACCGGATTAAGGCCAAATAGTGCTGGGATTCCCTATACACTACTTTTAAGGATTGAGGCTGTTGGGTGTCCAACTTGTTGGCTTATACTGTCGGGATATTTTATGACCTGGAAGGATATGTGCTGCACTGTGAACCAACTATGGTTCTGTGTGCGAGATGATCAGGCTGAGGCATGTATTCGGCAGTTTTGGAACTCTAATATAGGGGCCTTAATGATTAGAATTCGGTTTCGGGGCATATCATACCTACAAGTATAGTAAGGAACCCCGGGAACAATGTTGGTAACTATTGAGGCCCCTGTACTGAGATGACTTGGGGCGTCTTAGTGTTGGTGACGCCACAGCCTCCAACTCAAGCATCCCAAAGACTTGCTGCTAACCCTAAACCCTGAGTCAAAACCCGATGCAGAGAGTAGGATTTCTGAACCCTAGGTAGTCAACAGTGGAGTATAAGTATAAGTAAGCTAACTACACTTATAGCCCTTACTAGGGGACTTATGACCCCACTTATAACTACGCATGAACCTCCCAGCACGTAGAGAAGACTGAGCTGCAAACCAGTGCTATTCCGCTCGAGTCGCCCGACCGGCCTCAGCTATATTTTGGTCGAAATGCTCACGGGTTTAGGGTTTGAGGGTGCATGAGTTCTGGCTTTTTAGGGCTTCAGAGTTTAAGGTTTTAGGGTTCAGGAGTTTCGGGTTTTCGGGTTCAGAGTTTAGGGTTGTAGGGTTCAGGAGTTTAGGGGTCGAAGGTGCGGCTTGGGGCTGTAAGGTTTTCAAGGTTTTACGGCTCTTAAGGCTTAAGGTTTAGGCTTTGGGGTTTAAGGCTTGGGGCTTGGGGGTTGTGCTTTTGGCTGAACTCCTTCTCCAGCTGCTACCGGTATCCAAGACGAGGGTCTTAGTTTGGGGAAGTGGCTTTCGCTTCGGGGTCCCGTTCAAGGCGGCTTCAATCCAATCTGCGGCTTTTCGCGCGATTTAGGGGCCTGAATGCTTAGAATAGGGTTTTGGGGTATACAATAATTACTATGGTTAGAATAAGGAGCCACCAAAATAGTATCGGTAATTATTCAGGCCCCTGTATCACCCGGTTTGAGGCAGGACCGGGAATCTGGCACTAATCGACGATCTCGTGCGAACGGCACCAGATCGGCGATGGTCTTGCGGCCCTGTGGGTCCTGCCAGGGAGTCAGAGTAGCCTTAGACCCGGGGAAGTATCATGTCATAGCAGTATTAGGGTTCAGGGTTTAGGGTTTAGGGCTTAGGGTTTAGGTTTTTTTTAAAGTGCAATAGGGTTTAGGGTTTAAGGCTTAGGGTTTAGGGTTTTAGACCACAAATGTACAATAGGGAGCACGTCATGGTGGCTGTTGCAGGCCAACGGCCTGTAAAGCAATGAAGCATGCAGCACCCGCCTCCAGGGTCACCAGCGTGTCCTGACTATGCAGTTGAACCACTTCGATTTTAAATGGGTGCCCCTGAACCCTAAATCCTGAACCTCAACCGTTCGGGCTTCGGGGTGAACACCTATTACATGTTAGCACAGTATATTGCGGCATGTCATACATACTATATGTCTTGTATATTACAGTATATTACAGCATACTCTAGTGTACTGCAGCATTACCATATTAATGCGTACTTCATGGTATTACTGGGTCATATTATGATACAGCGTGACAGCGTGGTTTCGAGGCGCTTTCGGAATGGAGCGAGAGAGGGAGCGAGAGAGAGACAGAGAGAGCCCTAAACCCTAAACCCCTAGACCGTAAGATAGAGAGAGAGAGAGAGAGAGAGAGAGAGAGAGAGAGAGAGAGAGAGAGAGAGAGAGAGAGAGAGAGAGAGAGAGAGAGAGAGGGGGAGAGGGAGGGAGAGAGGGGCGCACAAAATACGGTACCCCCAATTGTCGGAAACTCCCGAAACGATCCTTGGGTTTGTGGAGCATCACCCAGACCAGCTCGTCCAGCGTCCGCAGTTTCTGCTCCTCACCGCGGCGTCTAAGTGCAAACAATTGCAGTGGTCCGAAAATGCTGCCCTAGATCCCCTACCATGAACTCTAAACCCTAAACTTGCCCTGAACACAGAACCCGAAGCCCTAAGTAAACCTGTACAGAGCAACTAGAAGCTGCTGGCGAGTGAAATGCAGAATAGCATGGGATGTCCATGCAGCTTGCGTCCTTGCCGTCCACAGCAATGGAATCCTGCAACAAGTCTGGTACAGAAGCTCACCCAATTTTCATGCTATCAATGCACGATAAATTGCTGGAAAAGCTGCAATATGCCATAGCATGCGCTAACATGCTGACATGTACTGTGATATACTACAAATATATGATACACATGTACTTTCATATATGATATGGGTGGTTGTCAAAATTATGGTCCCTTTTTGGGTACCCTAAATCTTAGGAGCCGTATTATAACAAGGACCCAAAAAGGGACCCTAGTTTTGACAACCACAAATATGATATGAAGATACTATAACACCACTTTGAACATGCAGTCGCAGACTGGTGCCAAGGCAGTCCTTCTTCGGATCGACTTTGATCACTGGGTCCTGAGCACATACGACCCTAATAAATAGAATAGGTATTTGGGGCCGGTTATTATGCCATAAATGTAATAAGGAATCTCCTTAAGTAGTAGAGGAAAATATTCAGGCCCCTATAGTAGTTTCTTTCTGTTGCACGTATAAGCCCTACTAATGACTACCCCTTTAACATACCACGCGGTTGTTAGATAACGGAAAGTAGCTATTATGGCTACATGTATGACCCCTCGCGCCACTGCCACAACTACGATGCCGGCAACGACGCAGACACGAACGAGAAGGGCGACGAACAAAACTGAAGCTCCTCCTCATCCTCCTACCACCACTGCTACTACGCCTGCTCGCCTACTCTTGCTCCTACTCCCCCTTCCACCACCGTCATCAGCACCACCGTCGCTAGTACCTCACAACCATCTCCAGTCTACGACCATTCACGCTATCTCCGTCCTGTGTGTTCCTCACGTCGAGTCTACACAACAAAAGACCCAGGACGCGGACGAGCCCGAGTATGCTTATGACGAAGTACTTTTTGACGACGACGATGATGATGAAGATTGCATCATGGTCGGTCTTACCCGCAGCCTTTCTCAGCGTCAGCAGCCGTATCTGATGTTGAGGTGCTGTTGATTCGCATTCTGATTCAACTCGTGATTGCATGCACTCGCGAATGGCCTGCAGCAGACTTCGTGCTAGCGGAAACAACTACTACGGTTGATGATATAAATCCTGCACTACCCATAATAAGGAATATACTATATACAATAAATCCCACAGTCTAGGGTCCTTAAGGTAATGCAGGATTTATGTCATCAACAGTAGCGACAGCCGTCGAGCCTTGACGACCTCGTTGTTGACGGTAATTCGACCTCTGCGAAATCGAAGGTCCCACGTAAACCCGAGCATGAGAGTTCCATGATGACTACCCTAGAGTAGGGTTTAGGGTTTGGGGATTAGGGTCTATACATGAAGGTTCATGGGTAGTTAGTATGGGTAGTTATAAGTGGGGATATAAGTCCCCTAATATTGGTTATAAGTATAGTTACCTTACTTGTAACCCCATTTATAACTACCCATGAACCTCCAAGTAGGGTTTCGGGTTTGGAGTCCAGGGCGCCCGAAATGTGCTTACTAGTCCAGTCTGCCATGAATGCGCGAGCTGCGGGGTTAGCTCGCACTCCAGCAACCTCACCCCAACCTCTCATGAGTGTGGAGACTGGGTTGCCTTCAACGGAAGACCTCGCGCAAAACCCAAACCCTAAACCCTAAATCCCGAAAACCCTAAACCCCGAAAACCCTAAACCTCGAAACCCTAAACCTCGAAACCCTCAACCTCGAAACCCTGAATTTCGAAACCCTCAACCCCGAAACCCTAGACCCGCAGTTTTTCGGCCTTGCAAGACCAGCTCCGTGACTCGGCGTCGGGAGCACACGCCGGAATGCGACAGGAACTTGGACAGCCACACCTGCTTGGAGGTTCGTGGGTAGTCTAAGGGCCCCTTTTAAAGGGATCTATAGGGATTCTACAATGGTATAGGGTTTAGGACCCTATAGATGTCAGGTCGGACACTGAATAATGAAAAGCCCTGAATAAACATGATACTGTTTTGGTGGAATTTTATCTACTATAACACCCTAGCTATGACTATAACTATAATTAGGAATCCTAGGATTAATATTGGTAGTTACTATACTAACTATACTAACGAATCCGAGGACTAAGGATTCATATCGGTAGTTGTCGAAATTAGGGCCCCGTTTTGGGTACCCTAAATATTAGGTGCCGTAATTTTATAAGGACCCCAAAAGGGGCCATAATTTTGACAGCCACTCATATGGGGAGTGCTTCAGGCTTCTCTAATCTTGTGCCAAGCGAGGGGAAGATCTGCTCTGCAAACCGGCGACAACCATCCCTGCAGTGCAGATGATGTACACTACGCTAGGGTTTGAGATTTAGGGCTTAAACCGCGCTAATGCCGTACAAAACCGAAGACAAACCTATAATATGCTGTAAAGCTGAACCCCAGGCCCTGAGCTCACACCCAAACCTCAAATGCGCCACCTCAAACCGAGACAACAACACGAACCCTCAACCCACTGCCAGATATCCTGAACCCCAAGCCACAAACCAAAAACCATGACCCATGCCCTAAACCAAAGCTTCCAAAATGAAATCACTAAATCAGAAACTCAGAACCTGTCAACACAAAACCCAAGGCCCAGAAACATTATGAACCCCAAGACAGATCGGAGGGGACCTGGCCATTTCCGATCGCGGGCTGGTCGCCCCGTAGACTGGCAGTGCGAAGATCATCCTCTGGAGGGGTCGCGGGTTTCGGATTTTTTGAATTTTTTGGAAGGGCCGGGAGGGAGAGGGGGTGCATGGGAGGCGTACAACTTGATCCAAGGCTCAAGGCTGAAGCGGTTTGGGGTTTAGGGTTTAGGGGAGGGCAGAAAGCGGGGGAAGAGCAACGGGAAAAGGGAAGGCGCAAGCGGGGCGGGACAAGCAGGGACCGTGCCTCAGCACAAGCACCGACGAGACGGATGTGTTGCTCGCCATATGTTTCTGGCAGGTAGGTTAGAGCCTTGGGGCTTTCAGGGTGGAGGGTTGCAGGGCTTGAGGTTTCAGCTCTTAGGACTTAATATTGGGGCCTTAATGATTAGAGTAGGGTCTTGGGGCATTACACGAAATCATATTAAGGAACCCCCAAAATAGCATAGGTAACTACTGAGGCCCCTATATTGCACGCACTCGGCTTTCGGCTTAGGGCTTCAAGACTTCGGGGTTTTAACTTCGGTTGCCTGAGCTTAAGCGTTTACAGCTATACAGCGCATGTAAGTGGTTGTCAAAATTAGGGTGCCTTTCTGGGTCCTTGATATAGTACGGCACCTAATATTTAGGATACCCAGTATAGGACCCCAATTTTCACAACTACCCATAGGCCCCAAAGTAGTTCCTTTTTCGGATTACCTTACAGGAATCTGTATACGAACCCCAAAGATGCGGAGATGCTCCTTCACAGCGTGATGTTGCCATAACTTGCTACGATTTGCTGGATCACGAAATAAACCCTACACCCTCATAGAATCCCTCCAGATCCCTTTAAAGGGGCCCTCAGACTACCCATTACTTTCGTACGCGGCTTCTGCTCTTGGCCCCCAAATTTGCATGATCGTGTCTTGGGTTCTGATCATGCATGTAACATCAGGCTCCCATGGTGAACGTCGATCGTCCTTGGACACCTCCTTCCAGTTGAACCGCGGACGCTTATACCTGCAAGGGAGACCACCTAGAGGGGTTTTGCAGGATGCCTTGCAGGCGATAGGCCCGAAGGTATAGTCTCCATTGTAGTTCCTTTAAACCTGAATGAACCAAGTTTATATGAAGGACCCTAAAAGGTGACCCAAAAAGGGAACTTCAACGGCGACTATGGGTAAACCCTAAACTTCGCCCAAACTCTACAACGCTTAGTACTGCCTCTAGCCCAATTCGAGATCCGAAGCTTGAGATTCCTACTTGGAGGTTCATGGGTAGTTATAAGTGGGGGTTATAAGGGTCCCTTTAAAGGGATCCATAGGGATTCTATAAGGGTATAGAGGTCATTTTGGGTTGTTATAAGTGGGGTGATAAGTCCCGTAATAAGGGCTATCAGTATAGTTACCTTACTCATAACCCCACGTACATGAACCTCCAAGTACTCAATACCACCATCCTGTGGCTGTTTACAGAATCTGGGATGTTCAGTAACCTGCTGGGAGAAAACTAGATGCCTCTGTTTGTTAGCTAGATTATGTTCTACTGGAAGCCAAAACAAATACCACTGAACGACTAGGGTTTACCTGGGCCCTGAAGACCCTACCCTTTTAAGGTTCCCCATTGTGATTCTTTATGTAAGTCCTTAAAAAGGTAGGTTCTTTAGGGTCTAGGTAGGGCTTAGAGTTTAGGGTTGAGCGGTTCCGTCACACATTCGCGGGCCTATGTGGAGATAAACTGCATGTCATAACCTCTCTCCTCGACATCGCAAGGGTCTTCTTCGCACAATGCTTCGAAGAACTATCCGACTTGGCAGTATTCTTTGGTAATGCGGTGCTCGCCTAGTTTTGTGTGGCTCCTGCCCTCTTTATGCTGATTCCCCGCTGACCGCACTACCTCCGGATGAAACAGTCCAGCCAGCAAAGGAGTTCCATCGAAACTGCAGGGAGCGTACTTCTAAGCATGTCAAGACTCCGGGCGAATTCAGGTCGAAATCCTGGAAACTGACCCAAATCATTGCGTGAAGACGGTCGCGCACATGGTCCGCAAACGAGAGGCATTCTTGTCAATGTCCTCAACGTGGCCGCAGATAGGTTTTATTAAACAGTGCTCCTAACTTCTCAATATACGGGCTAACGTCCTCCGTACTACCACTCCGTCCATACTCCCGATACGACTAGACGCGATTTCAGCACTTTCCCCGAAACAGTGCCCCCCTGTCGATTATCGGGGCTTGACGGACAATGGTAATAACCATAATAACCATCACAAAATACATAACAATAATAATAGTAATTATAGATATAGTGACAACTACAAGCTGGCTGATTTCCTAGGGCGTGGCATGGCTTCGTGAGGTGTACATGGGGGCGTCATCATGGCGAGGCACTGGGCTCATACAGGTCGTCGTATTGTAGTCTATTTTTCAGAGCGTTGTAAAGGGCGAAAGACCACATTCACCCTTAACCCTCAACCCTGAACCCGTGAACCCTAACCCTAACCCTAAACCCTAAACTGTGATTTTTCGGGATCCAAGGTCGACATTGAAATCCGGTCTTGCTTGCACAAAGCGGAACCTTGTCGTAAATCTTGGGTTTAGGGTTTAGGGTTTAGGAAGAGAATTCCCAGGTGTCCTGCACCTCATCCACCACTTCTCCCTGCGACCATCTTTTCTTCCGGTGCCTTCCTCGCCGCTTTCCCTTTGGATCCTGGTCTCCGGAGACTGCCATCGCAGCCACAACGGTTTAGGGAACCCTAAGCCCTAAACCTCAAAACCCATAAACCCTACGCCCTAAACCCTGGTTTAGGTCTCGGAGGTTGGGATGGGAGGATTTGTCGTCTCTATCTTCTGAGCCAGTTCGAGGGAGAGTTACGGGACACGACCAGGGCCGTCCTGCTGTGGTTCCCCTATACCTAACATAAGGGCCTTGGTATAATGAGGGTTTATAGGTAGATATGTATATATGTATATACATATAGATATAATACACATATATATATATATATATATATATGTATAAACACTATGTATAAATATGTATATGTATATACATACATACATACATACATATATATATATATATATACATATGTATATAGTAGGTCTATAATCAGAAGCCCTAGGAAAGAATAGTGGCAACTAAATCAGCTTCTACATAATTGCTTCATTCTGCGTTTGTATTGAAGCCGCAAGTTGAGTCTTGCACACGCAAAAGGCGGCCTGGACCCTGCCTAGCCTTGCATTTTTTCCATCACACTGAACCTGCTGGGGTTCGGAATGGAGGTGGTCCACCGCCAGGCGCCCCTTCGAAGAGCATTGTGGCATCCTCATCGTCGCGCCAGTCAAAGAGCGCTCCACTGCTGCGGAAACCAAACGAGTTGAGCTCCAGTACGACAATCTGAAACCAGGCAAGTGCACTGTCAGCAGCACTACCGCCGTCACCGCCCTGCAGGTTGCTTGGTAGTTGCAAGTCTGCCACGGCTTCCGTGTCACAAGGACGCAGGGCAAAGTCGACAACAGCATGATCAAGATCTGCCGCGTCAAGAACCGAATCAAGACGATCCTCAACAAACTTGGCCAATGCAGCCCGCACTTGCATTGCGTTTTTCGCCAATCCATTGTTGTCCGAGGATGGAGACCGGTCCAGTGGCGGGTCGTCGATGTTATACACTGAAAGGGCAGTAAGGCGTCTTCGAGTCCCGTGCCTGGCGCTCGCCCGGCGCACAAAACCACGCATTTCGGTCCAACGTGGAACATACCACCACTCTCGCACCACAACTGACATCGAAATCGGGGTGTGTAACTCAGAGTCACCACTGTCGGAAGTGAGAGTGTTCGGGGCAGCCAGGAGTAAAGCCTCTCGCACATCGGCACGCACACGCTCGGAAGTCGTCAGCAAAGCAAGTGCCTCGCCACCAGATTCTACTCGCATGGGCGCGCCCTCGCATTGAGCGTCCAGACCAACAGCAGCGGCAGCTCGAGCGGTAAAGAGGGATGAATCTTTTGGTGACCGTGTGCTCAATTTCACGAAAAAGGATTCTGATGATGACGATGATGCCGCAGCGCTCTGGTGGAGCGTCCGCGATGCTGCGTCGAGGCGTTTTGCAAGTTGAACGAGGACATCAGCCGCACCGCAGTGAGTTGTAAGGTAATCCCAGACTGCAGCTGCCGTGTCAACATGTGGTTCTGCGGGCAACGTTGCCGCTCGTTTGCTTACAACTTGACAGGCTTGGTCGAGGGCTACGAGCTCGAGGTGCGTTAACCCCACCAGCTGACTTTGGGGAGTTAATCCCGCATCCACCAGTGGCGTAAGCCAAGCATCAACGTCATAGAATTGGGTGTAAACCTTGTCTGACAAGTGATGTATGCGAGGGGAGCTTGCATACTCGTCTGGCTCTAGGAACGGCACGGCAGTTCTTTGGGCAATTTCGTTTCCGTCGAGGCACCTGCAGTGAAGCAGCAAAGCGAGCGCACGCCAACGGGTACAGTCGGCAGGGCCCCCACAAAGTACCACAACAGCTTCAAAACCACCACCACGCAAGAGTGCAGCCAACACGGTGTCGGAGCGAAAAGGCAACATGACCTTCTCTTCTTGTTCTGCAACGTTGGCTGAACGTCGAGCAGCTTGGTGCTGCCACATTGCTGTTTCATCTAAGGCCGCAACGAGAGCTTCCTGGGGTTGCATTTGCGTGCGAGTTGCGGATGTCGCCCCAATCATGTCCTGTAGCCATGTGCCCACAGCCTTCGCCAATGTCTGGTCATCGCCACACAAAGCTTCAGATCGCTCGGCAGCTGACATTTGCAGAAATTGTGTCCGCATTTCGCGTTGAGGATCCGCTCGGGATGAAGGTGCAGCCGCTGGCGTCCCTGACGCCAAGCCCATGACAGCAGCCATGGCTGCTTTGCACTCCGCGCATTTGCAGGATGCATTGCGGGAGCAAGGCACATCTTCGGCTACCACCTCATTGATACTGTTCTCACTGTCAGCGCCTTCAGTTGTTGATTTTGTCACCAATGTCGTCGGTGCAGGGGGACAAGCAGAAATGCGGAGCTGGATTGTCTCTGGTAGTGGTACAACCTCGGCAGCCTCGTCGCCGTCAAACGGGCCGAGACAAGCTCGGACAGCTGAGCGTAGAAAATACGAGCGCCGCAGCAGCCGTTCTGGTGATAAACTCATGACTTACTGACCGGTCATCTATCAATAGCTGACTTCTTTCGACGTCATCAAGGCTTTCAGTGAATTCGGTTTGAGACCCCCCCAAGACACTGACTTACACAAAGTGTACAGTATGGATTTCTATCTCTGACGGCAGTCGCAACTTCGGGAAGTAGCAAAATCAGCTTGAGCCTCTCCGAGACGAAGTCGTTTCGTTACGAAAAGTCTGAAATGTCTTTGCCGTTGCTAGTGCTGTAGTTGTTTGTGCGCGCGAGTCGCACGTTGACACTTTTCGTCACAGACCTTTGGTTTTCCGTGCTCCTTCATTTGCAGCAAGTCTTTGACTTACCATGTGAGTAAGCGGGTTGGGGGGGGGGGGCTGGCCAACTTTGGCGGAAACCAGTCTCTTGTCAGCGAAATCGACAGGCGCTCCTGATTCGGTCCATGCATGCAAGGCACCCACTCCGAAGCTTTCACAGGCTTTATGGGACGTAGCGTTAGAGACTCATCTTCTGACCCAATTCCAGGGTCTCGGATTCAGGGGCTCATGACAAACCCACTCCCTGAGATGTCCAGTCAGCTGCTTGCGGCCCAGGGGGCTAGAACCCACTTCTTGCCGTAGGCTGGATCTTTCTTCAGCTCCTGGTTGGCTTCGAGCCATGCAGCTTTGCGCCTTCAGGGAGGGAGGCTTTGGAATCGCAACTTCAACAAAAAACAAAGGAAACCCCCATGAGCTGCAATTTTTCTCAGGAGGCGGCTTTTTCTTTGGAGGAGCTTGCCCAACGTCCTGCGCGGGTGTCTCTAGTCGGTGGCTTCACCGAAGGGTTTACAATGTGCCTACAACCCAAAATACACAAAAATACTAGGAACCGCATAGAAGGGTGGTGGTAATTCTTCCGGCTTTTATATTGGCCTTTGCCAGGGTTGTTATAGGTATGTCTGCCAGCTCCCATGGCTGCCATCGCTTGCATCCTCCTCGTCCTCCGGAGGCATGTCTGCGGTTCGCATGCTCGGCCTGATGCAAAGCGCGAATGTTCGCCCGATACGAAACCCGAAACCCTCGAACCCTAAACCAATGACGAACCAAGTGCATTCAATCTGCATCCCAGCCCAGTTCCCCGCATCCTTTCGCCCAAACTCAATACTTCATATCACCTCGAATCGTCGAACCCCCGCCCTAAGCCCTTGCCCAAAAGCCCTGAACCCGCTGGGGCCTTAATATTATAGGGTTTCTGGTTGTATCACATAATTAGTGTATTTATATATATATATATAGAGAGAGAGAGAGAGAGAGAGAGAGAGAGAGAGAGAGAGTGCACGCATAGACAAATATTCCGACCCAGAAACCCTTGACTCATCGGGTGCCCTTAGCCCTAAAACATGGAAACCTAGATCCTCGACCCTAAACCCTTAGTCCCAAAGTTCAAAACCCTCAAACCCAAAGCTCCTTCCTAGACCCCCCAACTACCCCTAAATACCCACTATTAAGGACCATGAGGGCTCTATTAAAGGGTTCTTCAGGGGAACTAAACAGTAAACGCTGCACCCTACACCCTAAACCCTACCTAAACCCTAAAGAGCTTACCTTTTTAAGGACTTACATAAAGAATCATAATAGGAACCTAAAAGGGTAGGGTCTTTTGGGTCCAGGTAAACCCTGCTTGGGGGCCTCGCCTATAGACCTGTTCGAAGAGTCGCTCCCCAGGCGCCATGTCCCGCCGGCGCGGGGTCCTCGGGGGAGAAGTTTAGGTTGGTTGGGTTTAGGGTTTAGGGTTTAGGGTTTAGGGTTAAGGGTTCAGGGTTTAGGGTTTAGGGTTTCCCTGCTTTTCTTGCTTTTTGGAGGTTTACGAGTTTGGGGATTTGAGCCGCTAACCTAACCGGTGTGATTTCGGGGTTAGTATAAGGGGTACCTTGAAGGGTACTACAAGTGCACTACAACTAGGTGCCACTAGATGGTACTGGAGCAGGGTACATAAAGCTGTGCCAATGATATGACTGCTGCATACAGAACTATAAAGCCCTTAGAACCTGGACCTAACCAAGACATTATGTTTACAAGCCCGCAGGTGTTGTATGGCTTTGTTCGAATAAAAATACAAACAATTCCCAAGACACATAACAAAAAAGGGTTGATAATATTCTGGGTTCTGGGTTCAAAGCTCGGGTTTGGTGCTCAAGGTTCGGCGCTGAAGCCATAGATTTGGCAAGCTCAGTGCTTCGGCTGAAGACTTTTCGGTTGACTAACATGGGTTTAGGGTTGAGGGGATGCTCAGGATGACTAATATAGGGGCCTTAAGCATTAGAAGAGGGTTTTGATGGTCTTCTTAGCTGCAACTGTAATAAGGAGCCCAAAGGCACACTGTCGGTAATAGTTCCGACCCCCCACATTTTGGACTTAGGGCTGTGTCGAGAAGACCAAGGTCCTAACTGCTAAGATTCCGCGATGGACTCCGTTTTGATGCTTCCTATAACCCCTAAACCCTAAACCCCTAGTCCCTGAACCCTAAATGGGAGACGGCATTTGCTCCGCAACCAGGCGCCAAAGTGGTTTATGCAGAGGTCTGAATAGAGTT